CAGTGTTTCTCAACCTAGGGGTTGGGACCCGGGGGGGGGGGAGGGGGGTTCGCCAAAGACCATCAGAAAACACTGTATTTTCTGTTGGTAATGAGGGGTTCTGTGTGGGAAGTTTGTCCCAATTCTGTCGTTGGTGGAGTTCAGAATGCTCTTTGATTGTAGGTGAACCATAAATCCCAGCAACTACAACTCCCAAATGTCAAGGTATATTTTCTCCAAATTCCACCAGTGTTCACAGTTGGGCATATTGAGCATTCATGCCAAGTTTGGTCCAGATCCATCATTGTTTGAGTCCACAGTGCTCTCTGGATGTAGGTGAACTACAACTCCAAAACTCAATGCCCACCAAACCCTTCCAGTATTTTCTGTTGGTCGTGGGAGTTCTGTGTGCCAAGTTTGGTTCAATTCCATCGTTGGTAGAGTTCAGAATGCTTTTTGATTGTAAGTTAACTATAAATCCCAGGAACTACAACTCCCAAATGACAAAATCAATCCCCTCAACCTCACCAGTATTCAGATCTGGATGTATCAGGTATTTGTGCCAAATTTGGTCCAGTGAATGACAATACATCCCACATATCAGATATTTACATTACAATTCATAACCGTAGCAAAATTACAATTATGAAGTAGAAACGAAAATAATGTTATGGTTGGGGGTCACCTCAACATGAGGAACTGTATTAAAGGGTCACAGCATTAGAAAGATTGAGAAACACAGCGCTATTACTTTGGACCATTTGCTGATTTGGCTGCAGTTAACTGTTGGCTGATCTTTATTTGGCAGAACATGGAAAAACTTTTTTGTATTACAGCTTCCAGAATTGCTCAGTCAATATGGCCATTACCTCAAGAATTCTGAGCATTGTAGCCCCAAAAGTAATTTTCCACCCTAGTTCCGGTATTTAAAATATCTTTTGCTACAGAGATCTGATATTTTTTGTGTTGTGCTGATATCTGAAGTACAAACCAGTAGATCACAAACACAAAGCAAAGGCTGACTGTCACAAATTCATGTCGGCAAGAATGGAACGTGATTCAACCACAACAAAGTTGTCTCATTGGTTTTAATGGGATCAATTCATGACTTAATGGATTTTGTTCATAGCCCGTGAATCCTTAGAGACACATAAGAACCTGAAAGCTTCAGATCCTAGAACAAATTGTTTTGAGTTTGCAAGCTTTGCTTGCCTATGCTTGCTAATGGCTAGGTTTGCTTTTCCATACCTTCCATACCATACCTGTTGGTTTGCTTTTCCATACCTTCTCTTTTCCTGCATCACATTAAACTACCACAATTTTCTTCTTCCCTCTGTCTGTTGGGCCAATAAGTCATATATGTCACTATGCACAAACCTTTATATGTTTTATAAACTACATAGAAAGTATTCCCCATCCACATTTCAGCATGTTGTAATTTTTGCTCAATATTTGTACTGATTTTCTACAGACTGCAAATATAAATATTTGTATGAATTCATCTTTCCCCTAGTTTTGAAAAAGGACCAAAAATATATAGAATATGTTTCCCTGTAGCTTATATATCTACACACTTTTTAAAAAAATCAGATACTGCAAACAAATAGGGAGAAGCATCTTGCATCTTAAGTGTTGATTTATTGCTCACTAGGGAATTAAATCCGGTTTCTGCCTCCTGCAGAATTCTGGGGTTTGTAGTTTAGTGAGGCTGTTAAAGGCTCCTCCCTATAACACAAAACCCAGAATTCTACAGGAGGCAGAAACTGGATTTAAAGTGGATTCATTCTCTAGTGTGATTTTTTTTTGTCGTGTCAGGAGTGACTTGAGAAACTGCAAGTCGCTTCTGGTATGAGAGAATTGGCCGTCTGCAAGGACGTTGCCCAGGGGACACCCTGATGATTTGATGTTTTTATCATCCTTGTGGGAGGCTTCTCTCATGTCCCCGCATGAGGAGCTGGAGTTGATAGAGGGAGCTCATCCGCCTCTTCCCGGATTCGAACCTGCGACCTGTCGGTCTTCAGTCCTGCCAGCACAGGGGTTTAACCCACTGCGCCATCGGGGGCTCCTCTAGTGTGATGAAGTAGTTAGAACTATTTTGCTTTGAGAGCAAAATCCTTGACTTCATGTTGCTGATAAACAGCAGCATATTTCAGCCTCAAAAAGGGTGTTGGCAGCATTATCTCCTATTTCTATGTTCCAGAACATCCATAAGCATGATGTTAAGCAGTTTGCTTTTGCCAGTGACTTTTTTATTGTTCATAATAACGATTATAATTATACTTCTCTAAAGTGTTTCATCTTTATGGCACTTCACTACCAATTTCATTTCACAGCTCCTCGTTACATTTTTGCTCATAGGTATTTATTAGTCATACATATACAGTTATTACAGCTCTGTTTTGAACTGCAGAGACTGGTTCTTGCTATGTATGGCCATGTGAAACTTACACTCTTGTTTGTGAAGAATAGTGCTTAAAATCACAAATGTAGAATTAGAATCTTCTTTTGGAAGAGGGGGAATATATGCCATTCATTAATTTTACTATGTGTGTGATACAAACCTTATTCATGCCTTACTAATGTACAAGGGATTCGTGTGTTGAAGGATGACTGCCCAATTGTTTTGTTACTAATCCCCAAAGATTTTGTGGTGAGCACCCGCTCAGATTTAAGAGTCCTTTTCACAGAACCAAATACTCTAAAGGTGCCAGATCTTGCCTGATCTTACAAAGTAAGCAGGATCAGCCCAATTTAGTACTTATGTGGGAGACCACAAATACTGTAGGTCCTGTAGACTATATTTCAGGAACTGGAAAACCACCTCTGAGTTTTCTTGTCCTAAGAAAACCCTATAAAATTGATGGGGTTGCCTTAAGTCAACAGGCAACTTGAAGTGCACATGCATGGTGCATCTAGCTCAGAGTGATATTGAGAAATTGAACCCCCAGATTATGAAATATATAAAATTATATGAAATGAAAACTACATCTCCGCAAAACCTAGTAAGTTGCACCTCTGCAACTCTGTCTTACACTAACCTTTTTGTGTAAATTGTTTCTGGAATATTGTCTGGTTGCACCCTAGACCCCACCCTTCCCACACAATGGAATGGGAGATGGGAGGAAATTACTCAATAGATGTACACCAGAGCTCCCTGGGTCAGTTTCCTGCTCCCATTGATATGATTGAGGCTATCTGTGAGAAAGACTTAGCACTCATGCCTCAAGCCAACTTCACCTATTGAGATGGACATCATCCCCAAATATTCATTGTGTACACAGGACTAAATCAAATGCACTAATCAGAGCCAACTCATTACATATTGCCGTACCACATTCCTTGGGGATCACATCCCTTTCAGAGAAGGACCATTAAACCGACAGACACTTCAAATGACCCAATGACAGTTTATTGAATTTCCTGCCATATGAAGAAGATGTCCAACAGAGTCCTGAGTTGCTCAGGACATGGATCCTAGCCAGACTGTTTTTCAACCAATCAGGAGCTGGTACGGGCTTCTTGAATAGCTGTCAAATGAAATAAAAATGCTCTGTAGTCACAATTATGGCATGTCCATATTTTGGCGTGCTTTTTCAGCTGTCATCCTCTATGGCCATTGAAAATAAACTTCTGATTTTGTCTTGTACCCTGTGTCCCATTTGGCCTTCTGGAAAGCAAGACACAGCAGGTTTCTGAACTTGCGATTCTTGTGGTAGCTGAAATCGCTCAGCAAGGATGTACCATGAGAGATAGCGATGTAGGGCCAACAATGCTTCTGTGTTACATAAGAGTAACACATTAAAAGTGGTAGGGTGAATACCAAACCATATTAAGCAAGTTATTCATGTGATTTTATTCACTTTTTATCTCTACTTCATAGAACACCATTACTTTGCCAAATGTTAAGACAGGCACCTGCAAGTTGTTTGTTTATTTGGACTTTGGCAACACGTATAGAAAAGGAAATCATGCAGCCAGATGTTTCTCAATGTTCCTCACCATTAACTATTCTAAGGCTGCTGGTATATATTTTAGATATCACCTACCTGGTCTCAAAAGTTTAGGGGACAAAATAAAGACATTACCTCTCAAATAAGAAATCTGCCCCCATGAAAATTTCTTTCTTTCCTGAAATTCTTAGTGTTGCAATAACTTAAAACTTAAGTCCAATATATAATAATATAATTTAGCCATCCAAAGAAAAGGACAGACAAAGTTATCATGGAAACAGGAACACAGTTCATATGTGTTATAAGTGTGGTTCTTCATTGTATAACTTTCAGCAATGATTAGAAATGTGGGAACTAAAGGAAGATTTAGTTGTGGGTGAACTTCTTACTCTCTTTATAACAATGTTCCTGTATTGCTTCTTCTTCTTTGATTGATAATGTGTACATTAACATACACATGCAGTCACCAAACTAGTCACTATAATTACATTTTAATCCATAAAGGTGATTTGTAATTACTTAACATTGTACAAAGAATAGAATTGAAATGAACTGTGTTCCTTTACTCGAGCTTTGTCCAATCGGGTACTTCTATCATTCTGACTGGAATGATGGGAGCTGTAGTCTGTTATCTGAAGGACACCAACAAGGGAAAGGAATACAATGAACCAAAATGAAATTATGACTAAACACAAATTAATACACAAACAGCAGCTGATTCCAAAAGCAGCATAATGAGGATTCTGTTGTTTTTAAATGGATGTTCACAATCCGTTAAAGTGTAATCTCATTCAATTTTACTGTATTTTGAAAGGGGAAACTGAATACCTCTACATATGTTCTAATCTGATAACATTTTATATGCTAATACTCCAATATGAAGACAGTGTGCTGTGATTCAATCAAACTTTGATGAACCGAAAAATGGCTCACAATTCAATGGATCTCTCATTGAAATTAAGGGTTCCTTTTCAAATTCCATTGATATCTGTGATGTTTAAACACAACTAATTTTATCAGCATCCAGAGCAATACTTGTACCCAAGAAGAACATTTTATGGATCCTTTAAAAGCAATTACAGTATGCTTTGCCTACTGAACCCAACATACATTGATATCCTAATGTGAAACTGAAGAAATGAGGAATCATCTGAATTTATTGTCCTCTTCTGAATAGACCAAACAAACAAATCAAAGATTGCAACAATTAATGACCATGTTATATATTTTTAAAAACTATTTCAACCCTAAGACACACACATACACAATAAGACCATAAATTAACAAAAACGTCAGGAGCAATGTTGTTGTCTCCTTACACAAGCATCTGAAATTTTGCCCAGAATGAAACAGATGGTACAACTGAGATACCTTTCTCGTCCCTTTGCTGGGAACTGAATTAGTTCTTGCAGGAAAAGCTGTGCCAATGTAGAAATCATGTAGTTCTTTGAGATACTAAGAAAGAGAGATGCAATCTTGAATTTGTAGGTTTTTGAAGAAGTTCCTGAAGTTTCTTAACTGCATACTTCTTCAAACTCACTATAAGGGGATGAAGCTATTGAGGTCTTAGATTCCCCATCACTGTTGCATTCCCTTCTTAAGCTCAGACCAGGTGCCCCTGTTGCTGCTTCTGTTGCTGCCGGAATAGCAGGTTTCGTGTTTGTCTCTAAAGGATGGTAGTCCAGCAAACTCTGGAGGTGTTTGATATAAGTGATGGCAGCCCGCAAGGTCTCAACTTTGCTGAGGCGCTTATCTGCAAGCTCCTTGGGGAGGTGGTCTCGGAGACGCACATAGCCCTCATTCACACAACGGACCCGCTGCCTCTCCCTCTCGTTCCTTTTACGAATGAAGGCTGGCTCAAAGGAGTAGTCATAGACCCCTACATAGCTGGAGAAGGGCAGGTAGGAGAACCGTCCTGAATATCCGTGGTAGGCTTGGTGGTCCCAATACGGAGGTTCAAAGTGGAAAGGAATGCCAAATGGTTCTTGGAGAGGTAAGCCATGAGGACTGGTGACATGGGATGCTGGTCCTGGGAATGCAATTCTATTCAAAAGGGCATCATCTTTATTGCTTCCCATTCTGAAGCAGTGCATCAATCACTTCTATGGCTCTTCAGTCCATCAATGGAAAAAGCAGATGGACCAGAAGCTCCACTTCATACAATATTCTCCATTTTTCTGATCATCGGAGCTGTAGGTATAAAAAACGACGATTCTAGTGTTCCATTCTGTCTAAATGCCAGCTCTGCTCCTGGATCTGTGATTACAGAGGCAGGATGCCTTTTAATTTATAAGCATTCTGCTAGGACCATCACTCCGCACGTTAAACCCAGGTTTCTCTCTGATCTTCATATTTCAAAAAGATAATGAGAGGGTTCCTGTGTTTCTTTTCTCTTAGCTTGGATGTGTGACTATAGAGATAAAACCAAACATAAATAATCTTCCAGGCTGTAAACACTCCTCAGGTATTGTAATCCATAGTGCCCTTTGATATTACCTGCCTGCCAAAGGATGGGTAATTTAAAAAAAAAAAAAACTTTACAGGCATCTGCCAAGTGTTGCCAGAGCTCCTCCTCCAGAACCAGGATCTCCTGTCAGCTTTGTTAAAAAGACGAAAATTAGCCAAGGGCTTCCTCTCCCCAAATCCAAAGGGCAAAGGCTGCCTTTGTTGCTTCTGCTGTTCAAAAGTAACCAGAATCATAGGAAAGTTTGCAGACTTATGCCAGATCTGCCCTAGTTTCTAAAGTTGGGAGTTAAATATCAAGAATGCATAATATCAAGGGAAATAGTGCTCCCTTGTGGTTATTGACTATGGCAAATTGCTCATCAGGCAAGCATATATGATAACAGTTATCTTATATTCTGGTACATTTTTGCCACAACAAAAGAAGTCATTTTGATCAGGGATATTTCTGTATTTGACTGCTTAAAGATTTTTAAAAGTGCACATTAGAGCATGTGGTTCTTACAAAGTTTTCCCCATCCATGTGTTGTTGCTGTTGTGTGCCTTCAAGTTTTTCCAACATCTGCTGGAAGTTGATAATAGAGACAGGCTGAAGGACCTAAAGATTCCTATAGAAAACATCTCTAAGTAGGAATCTCTAGGTCCTCTAGTACAATCCAGCAGAAGTTGGCTATAGAGTCACGCTGGAGAGACTAGATATTCCTAGAGAGGGTAGAGCAAAAAAATCATTTCGGTGGTTTTTCACTTTTGCAGGAGAACTTTGTCATTAACCTCAGCATATGTGGAGCGCTGAGTATATTCCCATTAATTTTCAGCAGCAGAAGAAGCTTTGGAGACCCAATACAAGACCTCTTTGAGAAGAAACCCAAGGAGGTCTCAACATCAACCAGGATAACTTCCTACATTAGTATCCATTATCGTTGTTACTCCTCTACTTCTGGACATCCACACTGATCAAGCAGTACATAGAGGAGGATGCAAAGGGAATTGAACCCTGTCTACACTACTATTCATGCCAATTGTAGAACATGAAACCCTAGAGTATTTATGACTGGATGCATAGGTTGGAAAAACCTCAATGTCTAAAACCAAGATCACAATAGCCTGATACGGTAGACTCTAAGCCCCCTTCCACACATCTGAATAAAATCCCACAGTATCTGCTTTGAACTTGGATATATGGCAGTGTGGACTCGGGCCCCTTCCACACAGCTGCATAAAATCCACACTGAACTGGATTATATGGCAATGTGGACGCAGATAACCCACTTCAAAGCAGATATTTTGAATTATCCGCCTTGATATTCTGGGTTATATGGCTGTGTGGAAGGGTCCTCAATTACCTGGAACTCAAACAACCAGATCACTCAAGAAAATGGGGGGGGGGGGGGGGGGGGGGGGATCAAAGGAATGATAGTTTAAATTTTAAAAAGTGATTTTGAAGGGGCATGCACTCTGCATGTTCTCAGGAGTCCCCTTCTGATACAGGAGGATGAAGCAGAAGAAACACACCAACGAGTTGAATCTCTCTGAAGATTAGCTTTTTTTTTTTTTTTTTCTAAGATCTATGGACCTGGGCTACTTTGGGAGTGAGCGGGTGCCTTCACCTTGCACTTATTTTTATATACTACCAATGTAATAACTTGTACAAATAACTTGTAAGCCGCTTTGAGTCCCCTTCGGGGGTGAGAAGGGTGGCAAACTGCATTAAATCTACAGTGTAGATGCCCCCTTCCTGGTATGAAAAGTATGTTCTCTGCATAAAGAAGGAAAACGAACAAAACACCTCTGCAGTGTCACATAGACACAATAAGAGTAATGTTTTCTAAACGATGATGAACTGTAAAAGGGATCTGATGGCCTCCCTGCTGAAACGGAACACATCCTTTGAGCCGTGAAGGTGTTTTGATTTTACTTGCTTTCTCTTGAGAACAAAGGTGTAGGCAGTCAAGTGCCTGCAAGTCTCTTCCTGCAAAGACAACTCTCGTCTGGAACTTTGTTTTGAATCTACAACAAAATTTGATCTGATTTCAAAGCACAGGTTTCCAGCATTTTGGGGGAAAATACATTTAAAGTCTTGGTGAAATTCAAGTGGCCTGTATGACATTAATGAGAACAAGGTGAACCCTGACTGGATCTACTAGGGATCACATACATTGCCAAATTAATGCAGTTTGATACCACTCTAACTGCCATGGCTCAATGCTATGGAAACCTGGAAGTTGTAGTTCCTCAAGGTCTTTAGCCTTTTCTACCAAAAAAACACTGGTGCCTCGCCAAACTACAGCTCCCATGATTCCATAGCACTGAGCCATGGCAGTTAAAGGGGTGTCAAACTGCGTTAATTCCACAGTGTAGAGGCAGCATAGGTAAAAATGTAAATAATGCAAGACATCAATAGCAATGCTTCTAATCGTCTGATGTTTTAAATAATGTCAATTAATAGACAGAGTGAGCCAAATATCAGATCTTACGTTTTAATTACGGGGTTTTTTTTGGGTGAATTTGACAAGACTGTACACGTAACATAATGTAATTTTATTTCCTCTGTACATGATGCTATGGTATTGAAAATTAAAAGCAAAAAAATAAGGCATTAAATATTGAAAACCCCTTTTTGTAATTTTGGTCCACCCTGTCCTTTTTAATTTTAATTTGCACATTATAGCCTTCATGTTACATAATGTCCATTCCGAAATATAGTTATTAAATGTTACTTATGCAATTTTAATGCCCTCTAAAATTTAGAGGGCAAATTCAAGAAAACTTGCTATTCCTTAATATGGGAAATCATTTTTTTGCTATTTTTTAATCAATTTTTATTTGCACATGTTTTATGTTACATAATCTCCCTCTTGTCATATACAGATCACATCAATTTTTTACATATATTTGTATTATTCTGAGTTTCTTTGGAGAGAGGGGGCTGGTTAAAAATAAAGACTATGATGATTCTATTTTTACAAACAAAAGGTTACAAATAAATTATTATTATTATTATTATTATTATTATTATTATTATTGAATGTATTGTCGAAGGCTTTCATGGCTGGAATCACTCAGACCTCACCTCTGAGGATGCTTGCCATAGATGCAGGCGAAACGTCAGGAGAAATGCCTCTAGAACATGGCCATATAGCCCGAAAAAACCCACAAGAACTGGATTATTATTGAATATTTGCTATCTGTAATGGACCCATATGACACTCTGGCACTTTAGTTGTGAATTAATGGCAGCTAGTTTGAACTATAGATGGTCTGAATTTTTAAATTGTGTATTTTATTTTATTTTCTGTGTTGATAGCAGTTGCTTTCTAACTTTATTTGCGATGTTGTTTTATATTCAAGTATTGGTTATGTTATACTGTGCCTGGAGTGCCTTGTAAGCTGCTCTGAGTCTTTTTTGGGAGATGGTGGTGGGATATTGTTATTGTTGTTTATTCGTTCAGTCACTTCCGACTCTTTGTGACCGCATGGACCAGCCCACGCCAGAGCTCCCTGTCGGTCGTCACCACCTCCAGCTCCTTCAAGGTCAATCCAGTCACTTCAAGGATGCCATCCATCCATCTTGCCCTTGGTCGACCCCTCTTCCTTTTACCTTCCACCTTCCCCAGCTTAATTGTGTTCTCCAGGCTTTCCTGTCTCCTCATGATGTGGCCAAAGGACTTCAACTTTGCCTCTAGTATCCTTCCCTCCAGTGAGCAGTCGGGCTTTATTTCTTGAAGTATGAACTGGTTGGATCTTCTCGCAGTCCAAGGCACTCCCAGAATTTTCCTCCAACACCACAGTTCAAAAGCATCTTATCTTCCTTCGCTCAGCCTTCCCTATGGTCCAGCTCTCACATCCGTAGGTGACTACAGGGAATACCATTGTTTTAATTACATGGATTTTGGTTGCCAGTGTGATGTCTCTACTCTTCACTATTGTATTGAGATTGGTCATGCTCTCCTCCCAAGAAGCAAACGTCTTCTGATTTCCTGGCGGCAGTCTGCATCTGCAGTAATCTTTGTGTCTAGAAATACAAAGTTTGTCACTGCCTCCACGGTTTCTCCCTCAGTCTGGCTGCCATAATCTTGGTTATTTTGATGTTTAACTGCAACCCAGCTTTTGCGCTTTCTTCTTTCACCTTGGTTAGAAGGCTCGTCAGCTCCTCCTTGAGTTCGGCCATCAGAGTGGTGTCATCTGCATATCTAAGGTTGTTAATTTTTCTTACGGCAATTTTTACCCCAGCCTTGCATTCGTCAAGCCCCGCGCATCGCATGATGTGTTCTGCATACAAGTTAAAAAGGTTGAGGGAGAGTATTCAACCCTGCCGTACACCTTTCCCAATCTTGAACCAGTCTGTTGTTCCGTGGTCAGTTCTGACTGTTGCTACTTGGTCCTTGTACAGATTCCTCAGGAGAGAGACAAGGTGGCTTGGGATGCCCATCCCACCAAGAACTTGCCACAATTTATTATGATCCACGCAGTCAAAGGCTTTAGAATAGTCAATGAAGCAGAAATAGATGTTTTTCTGAAACTCCCTGCCTTTCTCCATTATCCAGCGGATATTGGCAATTTGGTCTCTCGTTCCTCTGCCTTTTCTAAACCCAGCTTGTACATCTGGCAACTCTCTATGTATTGCTGGAGTCTTCCTTGCAGGATCTTGAGCATTACCTTACTGGCATGAGAAATAAGGGCCACTGTACGGAAGTTTGAGCAGTCTTTCGCATTTCCCTTTTTTGGTATGGGGATATAAGTTGATTTTTTCCAGTCTGATGGCCATTCTTGTGTTTTCCATATTTGCTGGCATATGGCATGCATCATCTTGACAGCATCATCTTTTAAGATTTTAAACAGAAACTTTCCATATTGCAGCAATAATAATAATAATAATAATAATAATAATAATAATAATAATAACAACAATAATATTTTTTTACAAGATTAAGAACTGCGTTGTTAAAACACCTTTGCGAAAAGTTTTAAAAAAACTTTCTGGGAAGTGAAACAGCTTGGGCGGTGGAGGGAGGAGGGAAAGTAGAGAGAACAGCGGAGATGATAGCGCTCGCGGAGAGGGGGGAGGAAGGGAAGTGGCGGGAAGAGCTGCGGCGGTGGTGTGCGCACGCGCGAGCGGGCGAGGAACAAGAGGAGGAGGAGGAGGAGGAGGGGCTACTTCCGGGAGGGAGGAAGGAACAAAGCGGAAGCAGCCGCCTTTCTGAGCGTAAGCACTCTCCTCCCGCCTTTCTGTCTCTCTCTCTCTCCCTCTTGCTCAGAGGCTGCACTACCTCCCCTTCCTGAAGGGGGCGCCTTGATTTAACCTCTTCCTCCCCTCGTTGAGGCCGGTTACCACGGCAACGGCTGAGGCCTGCGCCTGGCCCATGAGCATGCGCTGGGCGAAGGCGGCGGAGGCCCCGAGGCCTGGCCTGAGGTGAGAGGGGAGAGGCAGGCGGGCTCCTGGGCGCTGGAGGGCGAGGCTGGGAGCAGCGGGACCAGATGAGGAGGAGGAGGAGGCGGCGGAGGAAGAAGAAGAGGAGGAGGAGGAAACCCTAGTTGCTGCTGCTGCTGCTGCTGCCAGGCCCTTCCTAACCCCGGCCTTGCTGGGCAGATGCATCACAGGTGAGAGGGCCGTGTCACACACGCCTAGAGCTGGAAGACACCCCCACCAAAGCACCCCCGACAGATGGCCTCCCAGCCTCCAGAGAAGGAGATTCCATCACACTCTGAGGCCACTGTCTACTCCACTGTCGAACAGCCCTTACTGTCTTACCTTTCTCTTAACGTTTTCAGGCAATGGGAGAACTTAGGCCCTTCAGGTGTTTTGGACGTTAACTCCCACAATTCCTGCTGTTAGGAGTTGTGGGAGTTGAAGTCCAAAATACCTGGAGGGTCTAGGTTTCATAGAATCAAAGAGTTGGAAGAGAACTCATGGGCCATCCAGGCCAACCCCCTGCCAAGAAGCAGGAATATTGCGTTCAAACCACCCCTGACAGATGGCCATCCAGCCTCTGTTTAAAAGCTTCCAAAGAAGGAGCCTCCACCACACTCCGGGGCAGAGAGTGTGGTGGAGGGACAGGGCCTTCTCTGTGGTTGCCCCCCCGACTCTGGAACACCCTCCCCAAAGACATTAGACTAGCATCCATGTTGGCAGTCTTTAGAAAAAACTTGAAGAGCTGGCTATTTCGATGTGCCTTTCCGGAATAAGATGACCCCCAGCACTATGTCCCAGAAGCACTTTATTAGAGTTTAAGACTCTCTGCACATTGCACTTGCCCAGAATCCCAACATATCACCTCTTACACCCAGCACTTTTTAACCTGTACCCATCACTGCCCCTGCCCTGGTTTTATTGCGTAATGGTGTAATGTTTGTTATTGCTTATGTTTTTAATTTGCTTTGAATTGTATTGTTATTGTTTTGCTGTTGTTGTGTTGAGACCTTGGCCTTTGTAAGCCGCATTGAGTCCTTCGGGAGATGCTAGCGGGGTACAAATAAAGTATAATAATAATAATAATAATAATAATAATAATAATAAAAGAGTTCCACTGCTGCCCATGCCTGCATTAAACCATACAATATAGAATAAACCCATTAAAATTAACCCCAAATTTGAAGTCCAAAACAGCTGGAGGGCCCAAGTTTGGCCATGCCTGCTGGATGGAATGAATGAAATTTAACCCCACTTTCAGTGCCCTGGCTCAATGTTTTGCAATCATGGGAACCGGCTTTGAGCTTCTCGGTGCCAGAATGTGTTAAAGTGGATTATTCGGACCGCCAAGACTCAGACTGTGCCACTTTTAGTCCCACTCGGGGTGAGAAAAGCGGTATACAAATACTGTAAATAAATAAATAAATAAATAAATGTTTTTCCTACGTTCAACTAATTTTTATTTTCAAACAAAAACAAACCCCTTTGCTGTCAACGAGGGATTCTTGTACGATTTTGTAGGCTGATTGATGTTTTCTCTTGTATATTTTTATAACTTGGGAAATATATTACAGATTTCGACACCAAGAAGGCAAGAGAGATCTTGTAAAAGTACTGGTTCAATATCATTGAGCCATGGCAGTTAGAGAGGTTTCAAACAGCATTAATTCTACAATCTAGATGCATCTTGTAGGCGAGCACTCAAATCACTACATCACACTGGCTCTTATTCTGGTATTGTACATAGTCTGGTACAAGGTTTAAGATTATAAAGCAGGCATGGGCAAACTTTGGCCCTCCAGGCGTTTTGGACTTTAACTTCCACAATTCCTAACAACCTAGAATTGGTACCATTTGTTATTGATATTTGCCATCAAGTTGACTTTGACTTTACCAAGCATTATAATTTTTTTCTAATGAGTCGTATCATCTCATGATATGTCCAAAGTAGGACAGTCTCAGTTTAGTAAACTTCATTTCTAGTGAGAGTTCAAGCTATATCTGCTCAAAAGCCAATTCATTGATATTTCTAGTGGCTCAGGGGGGAAAGGAAGGGACCTGAGGCTGTTAAGAATTGTGGGAGTTGAAGTCCAAAACACCTGGAGGGCCAAAGTTTGCCCATGCCTGCATTAAACCATACAATATAGAATAGACCCATTAAAATTAACCCCAAATAGCTTACATAATCTTACTTGCAGGACCATATAAAAGCTTTGGATAGCATGGGGAAGGGTGTTTGTTTTGTTGTCTGTGCCCCTGTTCAGAAGAATTTTTGAGAAATTTAGCTTGTTGTGCAAACAAGAATTGATAATACAGCTTCTGTTGAGGCACCTTTTTACCACTCCTCTTTCAGGAGTGAATGTCCCTTCCTAGGGGTAGATTTTTCTCATTTCCTGTTGTCTCACCCCCGTTCGTAACTATGAATTGTTTGTAACTTGGGGACTGCCTGAACTCCTATTATGTAGTCCAAAATCCCCTTAGCTGCTGCATCACAGTGTTGACTCATGTTCAGCTTGTGGCCTACCATACAAGGGACACTTCTAGACAGGCCTTTATCCCAGGAGCATCTGCGTTTAAAAAACGCGGATGTTCCTGGGGGGCTGTTCACACACACCCCAGAAAGCGCATGCTTTCTGGGTTGGGTGTCCAGATGTTGTACTGGGACTTCCTAGTACAACACTGGGACACCATAACCCCCACCATAAAAGCCCTAAACCCCCTTTTAAAAGTAAGGAAAACTTACCTGCCCTCCATTACAGTCTTGCCGGACATAGAAATGACGCGCCAGGAGAGGGGGAGGGGAGGAATATCCCCCCCCTCCCCCCGCTCTCCTAGTGCATTATTTCTATGCGCCGGGAGAGCTCCGTCAAGACTGTAATGGAGGATGGGTAAATTTTCCTTACTTTTACAAGGGGTTTGAGGGAGGGGTGGGATTTAGTCCAGAAAACTGTGGGAACGGTTTTCTGCAGTCCAGACACCGAAAGTAGTGGGTTTGTCTTGTGCCTTCCAAGAAGGCATGGAATAAATCCACTATCTAATTAATTTGTCACAAACCAGGGTTTTCCTGGTTTTTGGTGAATTAATTGCAGGTTGGCCAGAATGTCATCTTTTTATTGCAGAAATTTCCACAATAAAGGGGCTGACTGGATAGGCCCTAAAACTCCTAGGTCCTCTGTTTTCAAGCTAGATGTCACCAATCTGACATCTCTCTGCATTTCAGTTTTTTTCTGCCTAAGTACATTTCTCCCAGTTGAAATTCATTTTATGAGTTTTGACCCAGCTCTCTAATCTGGTAAGGTCATTTTGGATTCTGTTCTTGTCCTCTGGTGTATTAGCTGTCCCTCCCAATTCGGTGTCATCTGAAAGTTTGATCAGCATGCCTTCTATTCTGTCATCCAAGGATTGTTTTTTTCCTCCAATATATTCATTTATTTATTATATTCAACACCAGCAAACTATATTACCAAAAAATAATATACATCCATAAATATAGAAGAGGGAAGGGAAAAAAACAAGAAAAGAAAAAAATATTATTCCATCAACATCTATCTAAAACAAAATCTCACTAAAGTTAGCAAAAGCCATAACCACAGCTTAATTACATCATTAGAGTTTGTCTTTCCAGCTTTCAGAAAGCCTTCATTTGGCATAGTGGTATTTTTAGAAGCCACATTAATTTGTCCATTTGGGTCAACTCAACAAGTGGAACAATCCATCATCAGTGCTTCAGTCTGTTTCCAAATTTGAGCAAAGCATAGTCTTGATGGTGTCATTTACAATCCAAATCTTTAACAGCAATGCTTAGCAAAAATATTTTTAGTAAAACTGCTATGTCTAGTTTTAATTTTTGGAATGGACAAATAAATCTTAGTAATTTTTCACCTAATTTTTGCCTAATGTTTCCATCCAGGATATGTGTGGATGTGTATGTGTATATTGAATGTCATATCTGCAGAACCCTTGAACTGATAAGAAGAATACCATTGAAATATAATGTTCATGCTGGAAAATATTCTCTTTTGTTTAGGATGAACGAGTTAAGCTTGAGTCCTGTAGGAATGGAGCAGTTGACGGCTTCCTCTGTGAGCAATGCCCTTAGTGTTGGAGGAAACCATATTGGTCTGACTTCATCACCAACACATACCATATCAGCACCAGGTAATGCAGGAAGTCAACTTGATAGGGGAGGGAAGGAATATGTTTATGGGTTTTTTTTTTGTGATGAAAGAAGTGTAGCTATAATTCTGAGCCTAGCTTGAGGAAAAGTTAACATATTCTTTCATTCACAGTCCTGACTCCAGTATTGTGAGATTGCTAGATATTTTAATCTAGTGGGTGTATTTTAATGTCTTCAGGAACAGATGCACCTTTCAAATGTAGCCAAGAAAATGACCAATAGTAATAGAAATGCAAGATTTTACTGTGATGCTGGAATCCATTGTAACCCTTTGAAGGGAGGAGAATGAATATTTCAACTAGTATTTGTTCTATTTTAGTTAGAATTCAAATCTTCTGATGACCTTTCCCATTTCATTCTTTGTTTAACTATCCTACACATTGCTTTTCCTCCTTTCATTAGTTGGATGCTAATCGCTATATTTTTGTTTGGCTTGGTTTCCACTAGGATTACCAGTTGCAATTCCAAATCTGGGACCCTCCTTACCCTCTGCTCTCTCTCTGATGCTTCCAATGGGCATTGGGGATCGAGGGGTGATGTGTGGTATACCAGAGAGAAATTATACCCTACCTCCACCGCCTTATCCTCATTTGGAGAGCAGCTATTTCAGACACATTCTACCTGGTAAGTTGTGAGACACAACAGTGCATGCATGTGTAATGTAAATGACTGTTCAGCAACAGGTTTTTATGGGAAGATCACTTTGAGAGGAAAACAAACCTTTCCCAGAATTGTTGAAGTATATCTTGCTTTTATTTTCCTATATCTAAATATGTTTTTAAGCTGCATAGAGTTATTATTGATGTTTGGGTTTGGGGGCTGGGGCATACAATCATTGTCACAATCTGTTTGTAAGGGGCCACTAGTTCTTTAAATCTTGAATTTTAAATGTATTACAAACAAGTTGCATTTCTCATTTTCTTTCTTTCTTTTCTTCCTGTGTGCAGGTCTCTTGTCTTATTTAGCTGACAGACCTCCACCTCAGTACATCCATCCCAACAATATAAATGTGGACAGCAATCCAGCTTTGTCTGTCCCCAACAACCCTTCAGGCCTAGATCCCTTCCAGCCCAATGGAGCAGTGGGCCTTGAAGCAGGCATTGTCTCCATGGATTCCCGTTCAGTGAATCCACACAACACACAAAGCTTGCATCCCAGCGACAGCCATGAGGTAGCTCTAGATACATCCATTGCCATGGAAAGTGTTTCAAGGGTCACGAGTCCAATTGCAACTGACAGGATGGCTGAGGAACTTACAATGGGAGATGTTGCCGGGGATCATTCACAGATTGCAAATGGCAGCCATAACCATGAACCTCTAACTGTGGATGCTGTGGGAAGCAGTTTAGCAACAGACACTGTAGGGCACAATGGTGTCATCCCTCTTCATGGTAGCACTTTGGAGCTTCCTGTTGTTATGGAGCCTGACCATATTTCAGGCCGTGTTGGTGGGATATCTGACAGAACGCTTGGGGACTCTATTCACTCGGCGGCCATGAATAGCAATTCTGTGAGTGTTGCACTTTCTACCTCACACAACCTCACTTCCCTGGAGTCTGTCTCATTGCACGAAGTGGGTCTCAGTCTGGAGCCTGTGACAGTATCCTCCATGAGCCAAGATGTAGCCATGGGACAAAATCACGTGGATGTCTCCTCAGACAATCTTTCCTTTGTGCCGTCATCCCTGCAGATGGAAGATTCCAAGGAAAATATGACAACTTCGTTTACCATATGTGAGTGTGTGCTTGTGTATGTTTGCCTCTGGGTAGTACTTTCAATTAAAATTCAGGGTAAAATGTTTTTTTACAATAAACTTTCCTTATTTGGGGGTCTAAATCTGACAAAATAGTACACAGGCTTTTGCTGGGAAATGTTAGGGGAACATAAGAAATAAACTAGTGTGTACATCTTTTGTCGTGACTTCCCCTTCCACATTTCAAAATATATTCAAATTTTTTTCCTGGTCCAAGCTGGACCAGGAATGTATTATCAAAGGCTTTCATGGCCAGAATCACTGGGTTGCTGTAAGTTTTCCAGGCTGTATGGCCATGTTCCAGAAACATCAGGAGCTGTGAGTTTTCCTATCTGGCCATACAGATAGGAAAACTCACAGCAAAACTCACAATCGACCAGTAATGTCTGTACATTACTAGAACAGGTTGTGGATTTGTCACGGCTTTTCATTTTCTCACCTTCCATACCCTACCCCAAGTTCAGGTAATTATGATATTGCTCTTGTTTTCTCCTGCGTTATATGTTTACACATTTGGGACTGAATACTATTCATGTGATATTCTATAACTCCCTGCACAAAGTAAAGTGGACAGGGCTGAAAGGTGGCTTCATTTTTAGGTGCCTCTTCCACCAAACAGCACGCAGAGCTAGGAAAATAGGGAAAAGATTCTAAGTTCACTCAAGGTTTTGTGTCCACCTAGTAGTGTATGTGCTTCTGGTATAAGCTATTCATCAGTGTTACAGCAACAGGGCTCATATGTTGAAACGATGCATCTTTTATTAGTATGCATGGTGACATTTTCTGCCAATTCTTTATTTTTCTTTTTTTTCTGAACTTAGCCAGAAACCTTTCAATAGTTAAGATAAAAAAATTCCCAGCAATGATAAAAAAATTCCCAGCATTGTGCTGAACTGTGCCTGTGGCAGTGAATTTTGAGATTGCTTAGTCTTAAATAAAAACAGTATTGCGCAGCTTATAACCTTATATTTGACCTAATGAAAAGTATTCCCTTAATATTGATTTCATTTTATTTTTCTATCAGTCAACATTATTATTATTATTGTCCTTGTTAATCATGTGCATCCTTTAAAAACAGATAAATAAATTCTGTAAACCTTCTTTGTCAGATGGAAGCAAATTTGCTTGCCACTAATATTTCTGCAAGTAGCTACCAGCAGATGCAGAGTATTGGAAAGAGAGACTTCAACCTTGAATATTTATTATTTGGAGTTTTATATTTACAGTTGGTTACAATAAAACACCAAGGAACACTTATCTGATGCTTTATGTGTCATTTACCTTTCTGCAGGGTGCACACTGTGTGACAAGGCTTATCCATCTGACTGCCCGGATCATGGGCCTGTGACCTTTGTTCCAGACACTCCCATAGAGAGCCGAGCGAGGCTCTCTCTCCCCAAACAGCTTGTTATTCGGCAGTCTATCATGGCAGCTGAAGTTGGTAAGAATCTTTGGTTAACTGTAAATTTAGCACATGACATGGACATTAAGGCAGGGAAGATCTCAAGTAAACACAATTTATTACATTAATTATAGGAAATGACAATAAAATGCACCGTATGGAAAAAATAGATCTGAACAGAACTATATCGATAGTATACAATGGAAGAGTATCAGGTACTGTTTTAGTCAGGTAGTGAGAAGTACTTTTGTATCAGTGCTATAAATAAGTGATTAAATGGGGAGAGCAGTAGTGCTGTATAATCCATCTTTATATATTCTATAGAACTGCTAAACACTTTGCTGTTGTTGGGTACTTTAAAGTCCTTTCTGGCATAGGCTCATCACACAGTATTAAATATTCCCACATTACACAGTTACCTTAGAAATGTGTTTTACATACTTTAGAGATAATGGTGGTAATTGGAAGGGCAGATGTCTAACAGCAGCTCTCACTCATAAAACAAGATTCCTAATAAGGATCACTTTCTGTAGCATATTTTTGATGTCTGCAAAGAAACATTAGTTAACACTAATAGAGAATTGTCACCTTTTTTCTTCAGGTGGGCAGTATTGTCAGTTATCAGCCTGTCTTGGACCTTCTTCCTTGGGTACGGCCATTAGCTAAAGTTTGGCAATGAACTCATCATCCCTCAGTTAGTGGAATTACTTCTAGGCATTTGAAGGAAAGTCTTAGTTTTAGATTTTTATCAATATCTTTATTTTATTTAATCTAAGTTCCATTATATTATATTGAGTTGATTATACTTTTTGAAAATGCATCTTCTGATTAGCTAAAGCTGTGATTTTTGCAAGTAGTTTACAAATTTGAAATATAAACTGTGCTAAGAGGACTTCTTTCACATGTCAAAAGTAGGAGATTCCTGAAACCATGTTGGTAAAATGTTAAGCAAATGACTTGTACATCTTTAGAAACTCTCTGTAGTGACTCACTACCTGCAGAACATTTGTATATTTACTTTGAAGCACATTGCAGAAGATTCTGGGTCGTCATCTAGAAGCCAACAGTTAGTGCATAATATAGGGCAGGACTGTGGGCATCACCATTTTCCTGCTTGTACTAAAAATGTTACTCAGAAAGTACCTAACATAATTTTCAATCTACATTGGAGGAAACTGACCTTCTGGGAAAGATGTCAGCTCTTATTTATTTTATTTATTTATTTCGTGTACTTCTACCCCGCCCTTCTCAACCCCCGAGGGGGGACTCAGGGCGGCTTACAAACAGGCACAATTCGATGCCTACACAATAATACAAAACGTATAAAAACAGCAGTTCAAAAGTTATAACAATTAAAACAATAAATATATATCACAATCAATAACCAATCTCATGCTCAGCGTTCGCCAACTCAGAGTCCATACTTCATTCCACATTGTCTATTCCTATCCGTCGTCGTAGTCCTTTATTTATCTGCCAGATTGCCCAAACGCCTGGTCCCAAATCCATGTTTTTAATTTCCTTCTAAAGGAAAGGAGGAATGTCGCTGATCTAATTTCCCCGGGGAGTGAATTCCATAGGTGAGGGGCCACCACTGAGAAGGCCCTGCTCCTCGTCCCCGCAGGGCCTCCCCAGAAGATCTTAAACTCCGAGGTGGGACGTAGAGGGAGATGCGTTTGGACAGATACGCTGGGCCGGAACCGTTCTGCACTGACCTCAGTGCAGAATATTGGCTTCCTTGGAACATTGTAGAACACTATATCTGTAGAACACTGTAATCTGAGGGGGAATGCAACTAGCAGCCTGGTGAGAATGATTTGGTGGTAGAATAACTAGGAGAATAATGGATTCTTGGCTATAAAACTCTTGTTGTTTTAATTGCTGAAAGTACTGGCGACTGGTCGCCTCCTGTTTTCCTAGCTTCTTCTGTGGTTTCTGAAATAAGATTGATTTTTTTTTACTTTTGCAGGAAGTGCCCTGAAATCTTTAATGAGTGCAGGTGGTCAGGACCTCAGTTTTACAACCCACCTCAAAGTAAATGAATTGATATTAGCAGGAAAATAGATTTAAGCAGTGTTTATCCCCAGAAGTGTATTTTGACAATAGTTTCTGTGACTAGCTTATTGTGTAGATGCTTTCATGGTCTGATGCTTAGCAGTAGTTCTCAGAGCTCTTGGCTACAAAGCATTACAATTCTTGTATTTGGACTTGACTTGATGTAGTCAGTGGATTGTTTTTTGTTCTGTTTCCTAAATCGCTGGCAGGTGTGTGGGCTCAGGAAACCATTCCCGTGCGTACTTGTTTTGGGCCACTCATTGGGCAACAGAGTCACACCATGGAAGTAGCTGACTGGACAGACAAAGCAGCCAATCACATCTGGAAGGTGAGTTTTGTCCTTTAATCTTTCACCTTATTAATTATATGTAATTTTTTGGGGATTTGGCTTGACATCCTTTTGTATGCAGCATTTTTCAGCATTACATCAGCAGCTGTGAGAAGAATATTTTGGAATCCAATATCTAGTTAGGATCTAGTTAAATATAACATTATTTGTCATCTGTGTTCTGGTAGATGATTATATATTGGTTTGTTGTTATGTGCCATTTCTGACTTCTGGCAATCCTACCACCTGGTTAGAAAGCTACATTCAGAGACAGTTTGCCATTGCCTTAATCTGAAGCTGAGAAAAAGTGACTTACCAAAAGTCTCTTATTGGATTCCCATAGTTGAGAAGGGTCTAGGAGTTTCCCAGACTTCTGTCACTTATAATCAAACTCCTTTTATTGATTTTATCCCTCTTCTGGTTAGAAAAGTGTACTCCAGAGAGACTTGTACTTTTCTATCATAGTGCTTCAGAATTCTCTCTTAAAGCATATCCAAAATCAAGTTTATTGCCATAACCTTAGTCTCTGTAACCCCAGTGAATACTGGGAATTGAAGCTTTGTCAGGGAATGTTATTAGTTTACTTCATTCCAGTGTTGAAATAGTACCAACTTTGAAATTTCAATACACGGAATACTTTGTCTTGCTGGAGGGGAAGCATCTCTTAAAGAGAACAGTGATTTCCCGATATGATGTCTTCATGCTTTTTTACCAGGGTGGGGAAGGTAATGGCCTTCTGCTTCCTCTAATATCCACCCTTCTAAATTCTTTCCTTGCACAAGTCCTAGGTTGCAGCATTCAAACCAGACAGGCAGTCTGGGGCCTCTTCCACCATCACCCCTTTGGCTGCAGTGTTCCAACTGGACCAGCTGGATGCCTTTTTGGGAATCTTTCATCAACCCATTGGGCATTCCTTAAGGACATTTGGGTGTGGGGTGGATTGGACTAATTTTAGGTGGGGGTGGGCAGTGTGTGACAATGTTTTGAGGATGTTGAGCTGCTATTTATCAGGGTTTTGTCTGTTTAAGCCACTGGACTGTAAGACCTGTAAGCGTGCTTCAATGCAATGTAAGATTGATATGTTTGAAATGTTTTAATGTGTTTTAATCATTCGAAACACTATTTTAATTGATATGTATGTGTTTTTCACAGTTGTATAGTATTGTGTTCTGTTGATAGTGTTATTATCTGTATCTGAAATTATTGCCATAGTTTGTAAGCCACCTTGAGTCCCCCTTCAGGGTGAGAAGGGCAAGGTATAAGTACAGTAAATGAATCAATAAATATATAAATAAATTTTAGGGGGGCACATTTGTCATATTTTTAACACCCTGGCTATTTCAATCCAAACTGAGCTCTTTCTTTGACAAGGAAGTATTTCAAAACTTCTGGTTCATTTTCTTGTTTAATGAAGACCTCTTCTGAGCTTAAAATAAACCAAGAACCCCAAATCATAGTGAGGTTGCACTTCCACGGCCCTCTGAAAGCAGTGGTTGTTTACATCTTTTTTTAAAAAAAAAAAATCTGAGGATGCAGGGCATAGCAGGTGGGTGTGTCCCCACCCATTCCTGCGAATTGCCGTTTATTTATTTATTTACAGTATTTATATGGCGACGGAGTAGCAGCAACACTGCAGAGCTCCGGAGAAGAAGCTCACCGGAGGAAAGATTTACAACTTAGCTAATTGCTCTCTGTGAGAAAGATTTACATCTGAGCCAAACTGTTCCCCAGAGAAGATTTACAACTGAGTTTAATTGC